CACACTGACGCAGTCCTCAGCCTTCTACATCGAACCTGTGCAACTAATTCTGCTATGAAGAATGCTTTGTTGGAGCACAGATCATCCCTATCTCGTAATGGTTATTGGTTGCAACAAAACCTTGTTTAGGTTCCTGTGCTCACGGATCACTACCTGGCGAAATTACCCCCAACTTGTGTTTTGACGGATTTTTGCGCGCCACAGCGCCATAATGTCCCTGGGTCTGACTATTACCTGACAGTATGCTCACTCATACGGACAACATCTTTTCTTTTATAACTTTCATTAAAACGAACTGTTTTAACATTCCACAGAAGCTATGCTTGTATGCATATTTGATCACGCCTTTACAGGTGTGTCTCGTTTTACCGAGAATATACTATTTATTTATTTAGTTATTTATTTAATGCTAGGTACATTGACTGTCCTTTTTGGTCGTCTCTCGGCCTGTTCCTCTCTCCCTTTTCTCTGAGGTCGTGAACATCCGAGAGATTCGGGATTGAACTGAGGAACTGCCTCCGTCTGGAATAGGACGAAATAACCAACAAGAACTTATCTGGACCATGGCTTCCCTTCCATTCTAACCATCTGCACCCAACCACCGATGTCCAGTGAGGTTAGCTGGACACAAATTTCGCTCCCCGGCAAATATACATAATCAGAGAAGACTTCATGTGGTTCTACAAAGGATCAACACAGCATATTCAAAAAGGATGCTTAGTACCCGACCTACAACTGGACAGGACTTAGGAACGCAATAGGCAACCAGCTAATGCATCAGCCAGCAGAATAATGGGACACAACATGACTGCGAATAACCGCGCAAAAAAACGTTCAACAAGAAACATAGCCAGTTACAATTTGGCATTCAATGGATTGGCGGCAGTGTTCCAGGATGTGGTGGGGTTTCGCCTGGCAAGCGTTCTCCCTATAAGAAGCCACAAATGTCCGTTTAACAACACTGCAACGTGGCGTATGTGACTCGCCACCGAATAAATTCACAGCCCATAACTTCACACTGGCAGGTCAACTAGCGTCACAATTCTAGATAGCTTCGTTACACTGGAACTTCTACATCTGCATCTACTGTCGTCTTTTTACTTCCTACGATATGTTGACCTTTGCCTTACTTGCGCAAGAACTCACCCTATTGGCATATATCTCTTGAGCGTAGTCTTCCATTACCGTCCAATGGATCATTCAGGATTCTCAATCTATTATTAGCTGGGGTCCCGTATCTCATGGCAGCAAAAGTATTGTTTCGCATTTTCACTATTGTACAGTTTGTTGGGCGGAGCCTGGGATACTAGTCGGTAAGCAATGACACGTAAGGCGTCAAATACGACAGTATAGAAGTCGGAGGCGACTGAACATAACGCATATTGTACAGGCTACAAGAATAAGAAGCGAATCAGACAGGGCGAGAAACGTGCAGCGAGGAACTCACCGAAACGGTTTGTGACCATGGACGTGCAGTCAATAAAAAATGGACGTTTCGAAGGTTAAAACAACCATCAAAATCCAATGTTACAAGATACTGAAAGAGCATGTTTTCTGTTGTACTACAAGGGCCTCCCCTAGAAGGCTGAAGGATGGAAGCCTTCGAAAGAGCTGTTAGTGGGGAAAATGGAAGGTGAGGGGATGCGAATATTTGCAGAGGCTTGAGTAAGAGTTTCCAAAGTGGGTTGTGTAGCAGATTTCGCTGGGTCCAGGCTTTTGTTAGTTATTATTTATGGCGATCGTGTGGACCAGAGTGCATCATCGGTGGGCCGTCGGGGCGGGCAGGTCGGACTGCAAAAAACTGGCTAGTCCAGAAAAAAGGCCGACAGGACCTTCCCTTTGCTGCAGACCCGACGGTGCGCTTGGGAGGTGTCACTCCTCCCACCGCACTTTAGTCCACTGTCCTCGTCCCACGAAGGTATGCGGGCGTCCTCGCCCCACGAAGGAAACCGGCGTCTTCGTCGGCAATGCCTGGGCGGCGTTTTGGGACCAATCCGTTCATGGGTGTCTGCGGTCGAGGGCAACTGTCTGCTCCTTGGATGAGGAAGGGGGCTTTGGGACGGCTGGCGAGTCACTCCAGGGTTGCGTTGAGCCGGTTGGCGAGTCACTCGAGGGTTGCCTGAGCAGTTCCAGCGGTTGAGATTCTGGAAGGTAGAACTCAGAGGGGGCTGACAAGGGTCGGGGAAGTGGCTCTACGCCGGAGAGGGAACATGGCATGTATGATAAAAGCAAATACGCTTTTTAGTTTTTCAAAAAGTTTTGGGTTCTTTTTGTCGATTTTGTAAAACGTTTGTGGATGAGACGCAGGATCACCACTAAAGACGAAAAAGGCGTGTTAATGGAAATAGCAAACGCTTACAAAATCGAAAAACGGACCGGACGTTTGACATGTCTACCGCGTCGGTCGGTTGCCTGGGGTTGCGGCGGGATAGGTTGCGATTCAAGGGGTACAGAGGGTTCCGGGTTATCCAGTGCTTGGGAAGTCACCACAGGTGCGGGTGCTTGTGCGAGAGCATCAGGATGGGCTGCAAGTGGCTCGTCAAAGAAAGCCACTTTGAGGCGGTCGATGGACACCGTTGTTCGGTGACCATTCTATAAATAAATAAATAAATAAATAAATAAATACTTTATTCTCGACTATGCGAGGCACGCCCATGGAGGCATGATCAGATATGTACAACTGTACAAATATTTTATGGCAACCGTGACAGCAATAGTAGAAAATTGGTGGTATGTTCGTGGTAAAATAAATAAATAGATAGTTTATTCTCAGCTTCATAGAGACGCACCAACTTAAGCATGATCAAGGTTTAAAACTGTTGTGTATCACGACGATACTCCGGGTTCAATCGTGTATAGTTGAAACGGTGTCAAGAGGAGTTGATATGTGAATCTAGTCGACTTGCCAGTATGTAGTTGTGGGCTGTGACTTTATTCAGTGGCGAGTCACATCCGCCACGTCGCAGTGTTGTTAAACAGACATATGTGGCTTTTTATAGGGAGAACGCTTGCCAGGCGAAAACCCACCACGTCCTGCAACACTGCCGTAAAGCATTTTGAACATTAATGTTGAACTGGCAAAGCCGCTTGACGACTGGTTTCACATTCGGTTTTTCGCGGGGTAATGGCTTCTAATTTCCTCTGTTAGTTGGACGGGTATTTTGCTCTGGGTCGCCATGATTTTTTGGGGTCGCTGGAGGAGAGGGACATCGCGATTTTTCTTCTTGTTGTATGTCCAGGTGAGCAAAAGTTTCAATTTTTCCGCTGTTCAGATTTTTCAGATGTATAATGTATGGGAGTATGAGGATGTGTCCAGTTCTCCATACTGGACAAGGGTTATGATGATTGTAGGTTGGTCCTTGCGGAGTTTTACTATCCTCCATGTCAGTCCTTGTGGGTTGTTCCGTCCGTCTTGGGCAAAATTGTTCCTCAGTCCAATCCCAGATCTCCAAGATGTCCCGGACCTCAGAGAAAAGGGAAAGTGGGAGACAACCGAGAGAAGACCGCAAGAACAGGCATGGAATTGAATATTGTTAGTGTCTTGTGTTATAACATTTGGGCTGGAGACAAAAGCATGTACACTGTGCAACAATAATTATGCTGAAAATGTCTTTTGAGTATCCTATAGAATCATTAGCCGTATAGGTGGATTGCTATCGCCTGCGTAGGGACAAGAGCGTTGCACCAGTAAGTAAGGTACGAGTATCCATTTGATATGAGTCGATAGTTGCGTGGGGATAGAGCAAAGAGAGTTAGAATGTTGGTAGTTATTGTCAGGTGCATGAACAGCACGTAGTTAGTGTAATCCGAGAGAGGGGCATAATAAGCGAAAATAAATAGGTTGCTGCGAGAGAGTCTTAAAGATTAATTGGTGGCAGGGCAGCGGAGGGACTGGATGCAGATATTCTAGAGGAGTAGAGGTTAATCAGATACGGGGTGGCTCCTAACAAGCACTGGATCATCGCATATGCATGGGGCCGATGGCCATTAGCTACTTCTGAAGAGAAATGCCGAATTTATGACGACCGACAGATGTTGGCGCTAGGAATGACTCAGTCGCCAGATGCAGCTATTCCAATCGGACGCTTTGTCACTAGTGTATGCCTATAGGGTCGATGAGTGTATCTATGGGCCAGTGAAGGTAAGTGATAGGTCAACAGATCAGCTAAGCTGTGACGCAAACAATCCAAGAGAATGAACATTGTAAGAGTGAGCGAGCTCCGGATATCCGCAGAGTTAAGTGGAAGCTATGGCGACTAGCTGCTGGTAAGCAGAGATAGTGTCTCTAGGAAAGAATGAATCAGTGGCTGCTGTAGCCATAGTATTAAGACGTTTGTCTGCTAATGGATACCTACAGCTTTGTTGAGGAAGTCAACAGGCAAGCGAGGTTTAAGAGTGACATACGGCAGAAGAGCATGAAGGCTGGAGGTAAAATGTTTCGGAGTCCGTTGCAGAACTCTGAAAGGGCCAGTGTAGGGAGGCTGGAGACGGCGCCGCACCGCGTCGGTGCGGAGGAAGACGTGAGTGCAGGTAGAGAGTCCGCTGTGCATTTGCACATCTCTAGTGTGTTCACGAGGCGGGGTCGGGCGTAGTGAACGCATGCGTTGAGCTAGGGAGGACGCAAAGTTAGGCGGAGGCATACCCGACGGTGTGAGAGGTGAGACGAATTCTCCTGGTAACTTGAGCGTCGTGCCGTAAACCAGCTCTGCAGGTGCACATTGCAAGTCAGCTTTGATGCTGCTGCGAATGCCTAAGAGAACGAGCGAAACGTTTTCGCTCCAGCTAGGGTTGGAGGAGGCGCAGAGCGAGGTTTTAAGCTGTCTATGGAAACGTTCAACCAACCCTTTGGCTGCTGGGTGATAGGCTGTGGTATGAATGCGGCGACAACCTAAAAAGTTGCAGAACGTATCGAATTGTGAAGATTCGAAAGGCGTTCCTCGGTCGGTTGTGATGGTGGATGGGCATCCGTAGTGCGAGACCCACCGGTCCAAGAAGGCCCGGATAACAGTCTCAGCTGTGCAGTCTGTCACCGGAATGGCTTCTGGCCACCTGGTGAAGCGGTCGACACATGTAAGAATATATACGAATCCGCGTGTCGGCGGCAATGGACCTACCAGGTCTATGTGTACATACGAGAACCGAGAGTCCAGGGCAGTGAATGAACCAAGAGGACTGCGGGTGTGACGATGTACTTTGGAGCGCTGGCACTGAAGGCAGGCGCGAGCCCAGGTACGAACATCTTTGTTTACGCGTGGCCAAACGAAACGTTCGGTGACCAGTTTCAAAGCTGTACGGACACCAGGATGTGATAGTGAGTGCAGTGCGTCAAAGACTGTGCGTCTGAAGGAGACGGGCACGAGAGGTCTAGGACAACCTGTGGAAGTGTCACAAAGGATGGTTCCTTCCGTGGTTTGGAGAGGAACAGGTTGCACATGCAGCGAAGTGGACTGCAGAGTGCGCTGTATATCTTCGTCTTGAGCCTGAGCCGATGCCATTGCGGCAAGGTCGACGGTAGGCAACGACTGGAGAGTGAGGTTGACGCGTGAGAGAGCGTCGGCCACGGGATTGTCGACACCTGAGACATGACGTATGTTAGCAGTGAACTGCGTGACAAAGTCTAGGTGTTTTGTTTCCCGTGGGGAGTATTTGTCGGAAGCCGAGTTGAAGGCAAAGATGAGGGGCTTGTGGTCAGTGTAGACCGTGAAAGCGCGGCCTTCAAGTGTGCGCCGGAAGTGGCGTATCGCTAGGTAAATGGCGAGCCGTTCTCTGCCAAACGTACTGTAGCGGGATTCCGCTGGCTGCAGGCGCTTGGAGAAGAACACGAGGGGTTGCCATTGCCCATCAACGTGTTGTTGGAGGACGGCTTGTACCGCGACGTCTGAGGCATCAGTCGTAATAGAAAGCGGCGCAGTCGATTCCGGATGAGCAAGGAGGGCTATGTTGGAGATAGCATCCTTGAGCTCGGCGAAGACTGCCTGTGCGATGACAGGGAAAGCGAACTTACGTTCATTTCCTCTGAGTAAGTCAGTCAGTGGCTGCATGAGCTGAGCGCAGCGCGGAATGAAGCATCGATAGTAGTTGACCGAAACACAAACTCAAAGGAGGTGCTTGAACGACATCGGAGCTGGGAAGTCCTTGATTGCCTGGATCTTATCAGGAAGGACTTCAATACCAGACGATGAAACGAGGTGGCCTAGAAATTCTACCGTTGATTTGCCGAGTTCGCACTTAGTCGGGTTGACTGTGACACCGTGTTGGGTCAAGCGCTGGAAGAGAGTTCGAAGATGCTCGAGGTGCTCTTGTTCCGATGAACTGGCTACTAAGATATCATCGAGGTAGGAATATGCGAAGTCAAGGCCACGAGTGACATCGTGGATGAAGCGTTGGAAGGTGTGTGCGGCGTTGCACAGTCCAACTGGCATTCTTAAAACTTCAAACAAACCGAAAGGAGTGATGACGGCAGTTTTAGGAATGTCATTGTCTTCCACAGGTATCTGGTGATAGACGCGAACCAGATCAATCTTGCTGAAGATCGTTTTACCTGTGAGGCATGCGGTAAGGTCCTGGATGTGTGGGATGAGATACCTATCTGGGACGGTTAGGCGATTGAGTGCGCGGTAAGCACCGCAAGGGCGCCAGTCACCAGATTTCTTGGGGACTATCTGCAGGGGCGGGGACCAAGGGCTATCGGAAGGGCGGATTATTCCAAGTTCAAGCATGTGCTCAAACTCCGCCCTAGCTACCTTTAGTTTCTCAGGCGATGGTCGGCGTGGACGGCATAACACAGGTGGGTCATTCGTCCGTATGTGGTGCGTGACCTGAGCTGCCACGGGCAAAGCTGCGTTCATTGACTGGACGAGCTTGGGATACTGGGAAAGAAGGTTAGCGTAGGCTGACGAGGTCTGGGGAAATGCATAGACCGAGGATAGAGATGTGACATCGGCAGTGCTGCCACGTACGCTGAGTTTTGTTGCAGTGTCGACTATCATCTGGCGTTTTGCATTGACTAAGGGGTCGAAATGCCTGAGAAAGTCAATGCCGATGATGGCAAAGGAGACTGCAGCGACAGTGAATACCCAGCGGAAAGTGCGCCGAAGACCTAGGTCCAGGGTAAGTGACCGATGACCATAGGTGGCTATTGGCGTGCCATTGGCGGCCCTGAGACTTGTCAACAGAGAAGTGGTAGGCTCACCTGGCATAGGGGGAATGACACTGACTTCCGCCCCGGTATCAACTAGGAACTGGGTATGGAAGTCATAATCCCTAATGTAGATGAGACGACTTCGGGCTTTGCCGACATTCGTGGCCATTACGGCCCGGCGTGGCGGATCATCTATAACGGAGTAGCTACACGGCTGTACGCACTTACGGGCTTTAGTACCGAAACGCGAGTAGTAAAAGCAGTAACCTGAGGCATCAGGTTTTGTGCGACGGTGCGATGATCCAGAGCGGTTGCAGTGCTTACGTTTTAAGGCGAGTTCTTTGATCTGGCGCTGAAGCGACGTTATCTGCAATGATAATGCGTCTACTGCCGACGGAGGGCTATTCGCGCCTGTCGTGGTTGCGCCAGCGCAAAGCTGCTTAGGTGCTTTGGTTTCAGTCTCTGGCTGGTGCCGTTCGATGACGCGGTCTGCTAGATCTGCAATTGCTGTTATGGGCAAGTCACTTGCTACTGCAAGGATAGCCTGTGTGCTTTCCGGAAGGCGTTGCATCCACAGCTCGCAGAGAATCCCTACGTCCATGTTGGACGTGCCGATGAGCTGTTGCATTTCGCGCAACAAGGCTGAGGGCATCCTATCTTCGAGCTGCAGATCACTAATTAGCTGCCGCAGACGGACCTTGTCAGAAGGCGTGATTCGCTGAATAATAGCCTGTTTAAGTGTCTCGAATTTCATTACTAGAGGGGGTAAAGTATGACGTTTCTCACCTGCGAGGATATACTATAAGGAAGGCAAGATACTAACTGATTATGCATGGCGGAATCAGAAGAAATCTTACGAATATAAAATGCGGATTCTAAATGCAAAACCATAATAAAGGATCATTCTCCCAAAAAGCAGGGCCAATGCAACCGAATTGACCATGGCAGGCTGAACGGCGTTAACCGCGCATGGAGACCGCTTATCCTCTAGATTATCCATTACAAAAAGCAGCTAAAATATGTGGTAGGTGAGAAAACAATATGATCACAAGTAATGAATCACAAAATCACTGGAACGAGCTCACCAGAATGAAAATGCAAAATGGCGGGCGGCGTGTTCCTGACAGGGGGTCACCAGTTGTCGGGCGGAGCCTGGGATACTAGTCGGTAAGCAATGACACAAAAGACTTGTCAAATGCGACAGTATAGAAGTCGGAGGCGACTAAACATAACGTATATTGTACAGGCTACAAGAATAAGAAACGAATCAGACAGGGCGAGGAACGTGCAGCGAGGAACTCACCAAAACCGTTTGTGACCACGGACGTGCAGTCAGTAAAAAAATGGACGTTTCGAAGGTTAAAACAACCATAAAATCCAAGGTTACAAGATACTGAAAGCGCATGTTTTCTGTTGCACAACAAGTTCCAATCCTGTACATATGAAAATTTTCTACTGGCACTGTTAC